TTGGTGCCAACTAGTTTTAGTATAATTGTATCAGTCCCCACTCATCTTATTTCCCTTAATTAGTTGGCTCAAATGTGTTCTTTGATTTCAAACCCATTTCCCCAGTGGGAGCATCACCTCTTCTGTATGTGGAAGAAAACATAGATTCCTTGGGTTCCAAAGAAGCTGTTCACAAAAGCCCTGCTTATTCACAAAGTGAAATCAGTGATGTCTTACCTGAGCTCATTTTCGACCCTGAATCCTTTCCTTCGTGCCAGCTCCATGAGGAAGGCTCTGCGGGTGGTTCCCATTTTCTTCTCTAAAATATAGAGGACCAAATCCTGAAATTTGATGTCATGAGGAGGAGAGACCATCGAAGCACCTGTTTGCCTGGGCCTCTTCTTCCGAGGGCCCGAGTGGACCATTTGCAAAGGATCCATGGGAAGAGGCATCCGATGCTTGTATCTGTGCCATCAAGTGATGTCTCCAGAAGTGAGGGAGAGCCTGCCCTCCTATATGAAGAGTTCTGATGTCATCTTACTAGTAGATTCTCATCCAGGGCAAGGTTTCTTGGGCTCTGCCCTGCTGACAGCTTCCTGCTGAAGAGCAATGGAGAATTTTTATCTCTGTTAGCTCATTTGTTCAATGTGGAAATCATAATGGAAACAGTAAATTACCTTTGATTCCTGCGCATAATCTTACCAGATCCTCAGAATAACCTCGCAAGGAAGGTAGGGAAGCATCATTACTCCCATTTTAGCATCTATCTATCCATTTATTATTCATTCATTCATTTATTCATTTATGTGTTAAGGCCCCTTTGTCTTTATTTTTGATTCCTTTTTAACCTTCCAACTTGCTTGCATTCTCTTCCTCTTTTAGGTAATCATTATAATACATTGGATTTCTATAGTTTCCATGGGTGTTATATGTTGTGTGTAGTTGTTTTGATTTTACATAAATGGCATTGTTAAATTTCTCATTCTGCAGATCACTTTTTCACTCAAAAAATGGATCAAATCCCTCCACACTAGTCTATGTTCCAATCCGTTTCCTCTGATTGCTCCACAGGAGTTCATGATGGACATTTTAGCTGTACCGGTGCATTTTGTAAGTGAGGAAACCAAGACTCAGACAATTTACTCAAGATCACAGAGTAAGAGGCAGAACCACGTCTTAAACTCGGGTCTTCAGGCTCCAAATGTTACGTATCTCAGTTTTCTCAGTGGACTAAGGTAGCCCGGAGAATAGTCTATTATGTAACTCCAAAATTGATCTTTTGGGATGGAATGGGATGACCTTCAGTTAAGAATTACTGCCATAAAAAGACATTTCCACAACCTATGTGCAAAATAAAACTAGTGTCTCTCACCAATATACTTTATCAATCTCATTTCTTGAGAATTTACTATGTGGTCAAGGCAAGCACCTACAAGCCTTAGCTGATTGAACCCTCATAATGCCGCTGTCTGGTAGGTACTAGCATCCCCACTGAGGTGAACACCTTCTGCAAGGCTGCGGAGCTAATATATGGTTATAGGTAGGAAATTATCAAGCCAGGACTTAAACTCAGATCTGTCTGCTTTGAAAACCTGTGCTTTCAACTACCGAGAAGCCTTCCTCTGTGCATGTCTTCTCCCATAAAAATCAAAGTTCTGCTCACCCATTTGCTATGTTACTTGAGACTTTTGCTATCCCCAAAGGCACATGAGCTCCTCACCACAACACTAGAGAAGAGTGATGTGACAGTTGCCTTCAAGCATTTGCAAATTTGTGTCGTCCAAAAGAGCAAGATCAGAAACCTTGGGTGGAACTTATAGAGTAGTAGATCTTAACTCTCTGCAAATATGAACTTTTTATTAACTAGAGCTGTCTAAAAATATAGGGAGACTGCTTAGTACAGTGAGATAGTACAGGTTATGAGAAGTGTTCAAATGGGATCCAAACAGTTGTTCATTGAGATGTTATAGAGGGACTCGGACATCTGGTAAGGACCTTTAACGTCATTCCAGTATTCTGTGATTGTTTGTTAAAGACAAAAATCTGGGGCCAGGAGCCCATTTTGGACCCCCCTGTTAGAGGAGTCTAGTCACTGACGTGCTGAGCGCTCTGTGTGAGAACACAGACTTAACTACCATGTGGCTCCCCAGCATGGAGAAGCAAGACTCTTGCAAGAGCCTGGGGTTGTCATGTTCATCCCCACGGCATGGCCAGAGGAAGAACGGGTATGTCACCTAAATGGCAAAGGAGATGGGGAACTAGCACAGAGACACGGCTGAGAGCTCAGGCTCTGATGGCAGGCTGCTGGTCCAAATCCTGTGGCCATTATTTTGAGCTGTGACCTTGACCACCATGCTTCCTTCCCCAAGCCTCAGGTTTCCCCCTCTGTAAAATGAAGGCTAACTGAGATAACCCACACAGCCTGCTGAGCAGAGTGCTTGGCACAGAGGAAACACTTCAAATAACTGTCAGTTGGTAGTAATTTGGTGTTTGTTTTTAGAGAAGAGCCAGTTGGATCTGAAATCAGATCTTTATGTTTTATAAAACTACTTAATCATCAAAAGATGATGTTAACCAATGTCTTACTTAATCTGCTTTGAATCACTGGTATTGAAGAGATTACCAACAAAAATTTAAAATGTGATAATGGCTGTCTGATTATCAGGCTATTGTCTCTCAGCCCCAAATCTACCTTTCTGTGATGGGCTCTATGAAGTTGGGGCTAGGACTGTGCAGACACCATTTCTCCTCTTCAGCTGGCTCCATGCTAGGCTCTATCAGTAGGGGGCACAAGAGGGATACTACAAGGCTGGAGAGAGGGGAAGGTCTTGATCCTTTTGGTTTGCTTGCTGATACACTCACAGTCTTCTCAGTAATGGTTTTTCACTCAGGCTGCAGCAGCTGGTTCCATTCTGCAGCATTTTTTAAAAAGATTTATTTATTTTGAGAGAGAGAGCATGCAAGCGTGTGAGCAGGGGGAGGGGCAGAGGGAGAGGAAGAAAGAGACTCCCCACTGCGCAGGGAGCCTGACCAGGAGCTCAATGCCACAACCCATGAGATCATGACTTGAGCTGAAACTGAGTCCATTGCTTAACTGACTGAGCCACTCAGACCTTTTTTTTTTTTTTTGGCACAACCAGACATAGCTTCATCATGCCCTTCAGAGATACCAACACCAGCCAGGCACATGTCCTTTTCAGGGGTCTGAATCTTCTTCCTATGAAGTACAGCACAGCGCCCCCTCCTCAAAGATCTGTGTTGCAGCTCCATGGAGACTCCCTGCTCCACAAGTGGGGTTCCACCAATCCCAACTCGGCCCCTTTGTCCCCACAGCCCTAGGGGTGAGCCATGCTCCCTGCAGTTACTCTCTGACTTATCTCAGTGTTCTTTTGCTTTTCAGTCTTCCAATGCCTGTCAAACCAATCCCTTATGTTAAATTCTTTCTGTTGAAATACCTAGTGTGTTTTCCTTTTTCCTAACTGGACCGTGACTGATACACTGTCCAGTTAAAGTGAGGCATAAGAAATGAGGACCCACCTACACTTCTGGGGCATACTCTTTCTAAAAGGAACTCTGACAAAAAAAATTCTTTAAGACATCCAAATCCCCTAAACCGGCATTTCCATTTTGTTAGGAAAGAGAGACAAATAAATGTGAATGCACTAAGATGTTCATCACAACCTTTTGCAGAGAAGACTTAAAACAACATAAATGTCCAATCACTGTGGGGGGTGATAAAGTATTATGCAGCCATTAAAATGACATCATGAGAAAATACTTTAAAACGTGGGTAAATGTTCACAATCTAATAATTGTAAAATCAGTGTACCAAATAGTAGTTACTGTATGGCATCAATTTTGCCAGAGAAGACTAGAAAAATATATGGCAAGCCTGATATAATAGTAGATATCACTGGTTGTTGGTTTATGCATGATTTCTATTTTTGTCTTTGTGCTTTTCTGTATTTTACAAATTTTCTATAATAAACATGAATCCTATCTGCCACCACAAAAACAAAGGACTTACAAAAATTACCTTGAGTTGACACCATGTGGCTTTAGTGAAAGCTATGATTCAAAGGTAGCGAGGTTGCTCTGAGTAAGCTAAATAGCAGGTGAACATGTTTTCTGATAATTACAGCACAGGGCTGAGTGACAAACACTTCATATTTTGCGTGAAAATCCTATCTCACCACCAGGCAAGACTCCACTGAGGAATGGGAGGGGCTGTGTAATTCTGCCTGGTTTATATAACTTACTGAAGCTGACTCTGGGGAGGGAATCTGTGGCTTTGAGACCCCTTTTCCTACCTCTGAGGGTCCTTTTCATGGTATCGTGTGACTTGTGTTAGGATGACAGTTATGAAGGCTGAAGCCATTGTCGTGGCTTGGGGAGGGGAGGTGTGAAACCCCTTAGCCTCACCTTAAATTGGGTCTGAGTATACCAAAGTCTCATTGTTATTTCAGGAATTAAACTGAATCATGCTCATGAAAGTGCCTGCAAAATCATGAACCACTGCACAAAGGTCAATTGTTCTTGTTATTCTCATTGGCACTGCTGCTAATGGCAGGAATTAATTAATTTCCTCTTACTGAACCACTGTTTTCTGGAGCTATTTGCACCAGGTGTTGAGCACACCCTTGGCCCGGTATATGGGTCAATCAGCCCCAAATCTTGGTGGCTTAGCACAACAAAAGTTTATTTTCTCTCGTGCTACTTTTTGGTGGAGGATTCTTCTTCACTCAAGACTCAGGCTGGTGGAGGCTTCACAGTTTTGTACCTGTACTGCCTGGACGATGAGGTTTTCTTGGTAACCCTGGCAGAGAAGAGGGCATGGGGTGGGGGGGGTCTTGCATTAGCAATTAAATGCTTTGTCTTAAAAATGATACATATGACTGCTGGTCATAGCCCATTGGTCAGAACTAGTCACACGGTCCCACCTAAATACATCAGGGCTTGGAAATGCAGGGGAGCATAGGGGATTTGAGGGGAGCATTCCTGTTCCTGCCATGCCCAGGATCAAACTAAGTGCTCATTGATGGGCACCTTCTGGAGACACCCAGTCAATGGGATGTTACTGCATCTACACTAAAGCCATGGCAGAGATTAGGGAGGACCAGAGCCCTGTGCTTCCTAGAGGAGCAGCTCAAGAGAAGGACCACATTGTCCAGTCGTCAGGCCATTCTAGGACCTTTAGAATTCCAAGCTGTTGTTGTGGTCCTGGGGACAAGAAGATCTGATCTCTCTGAAATACCTCCATACCAACTGTTCCTCCTTTCAAGCAGTATATAAGGGGGAAAGTCCTTTATCAGTGTCAAAGTCTATCCTAAATTTGAATCGGGTATTCTTCCTGCTGGCACAGTCTTCTGTGCTTCCTTGCCCATGAGAGCATGTGTCACTCTGTATTGCAATGCTCTGATCCCCTGCGTGTACCTCCTGTTGGGGCAGGACTCATGTAGGTTGTATTTACATCGGAATCCCCAGCTCCTAACACAGCACCTTGTATGGTAGACACCAGTGAAGGTAGAAGAAGCTAGAAACCAAACATAAGTTAATATTATCATTATTCAGCTTCTATGCTGTTTGGGTAACTATGATATGAATCTTCTGCCGTGACCACCCTTCTCCACCCCGCACATTCCCAACTAAATGTCTCTTCAATGTGAGCAAGTATAACACAGTTGTTAAGGAACCAGACTACCTGAATTCAACACCCAGACATTTATGAGCTGTGTGACCTTGGGCAAGTTACCAAGCCTCTCTATGCCTCAACTCCCTCATCTGTGCAATGGGGTTATGATGACTTCTGTCTTACAAGTGGTTGGGAGGACTAAACACTTCAAAGAGTCCTGGCACGCAGGAAGTCCTCAGAAGTAGTCACTGTCCCTGCAACAGTGCGGCCTTCTTGTTCCCCTCCCTGCCCTTCCCCTCAGTCCCCATACCCTTGAAACGTATTTTCCCAGAGTACTTCCCACTGGCCTTTTGATGTCCCTAGACTCTTCCAAAAGTAGTGTCAGGCCCAGTGAGGAACAGACTCAGATCTCAAAGAGGACTATAGGAGTGCCTGCCATAATTCCCAACATGGGTTCCGAGGAACGCTAGTCCCATGAAGTGTTCTGGGCAAAACAAAAAGTTCTGTAGTGAATTAAATTTAGGGAAGCCAGACAAACTTTATACCATTTGCGTTAGAACATGAAAGTTTTTGAGAAGCCTTGCAGTCAAGAAATCCTTTAAATTTTGTTTAGCTCCATGTATTCCCAACTCGCTTGTACTTTTGTTTGCTTGTTCTCTGGAACACTTGTAGCGGCTTGTCGAACACAACAAGTGTTGACGACCACATATGCACTAAGCCTGGGGGCCTGGAGTTAGGCCTGGGAACCGCCTGCCACTCACCAGGTATGTGATCTGGGGCGAGTCACTTAACCCATGGGATTCTCAGCCTCTGACTTATAAAAATGGCAATTATGGTACCAGCTTCATTGCACTGTAAGTGAGGGATAAGAGAACGTAAACATACCCGCCTGGCCCCCCCGGGGGGCTTGTCCCTATTCTACTCTCGCCATCACCCTGCGTCTCCCAGGTGCCGGCGGACACGGCCGGTGCTCCTGGCTTGGGTAGGCAATGCCAGGCTGCCAGAAGGAACACACCTGGTCATTGACTGCCATTGTCACACCCCTGTGCAATCGCTGCTCTTCTTAGTTTAATGTTGACTTGTTCTTCCATTTTGGATAATACTTGATCTCCTTATGATCATTCTTAGAGACCTTTATGAGTGCGAGCATATGGGGCAGGAAAGAAGGGAGAGGGTGGCTGGTTTACCCTGGTTTGGTGGAGAAGTGGGCCTCTTCTCATCAACAACAGTATTTCTATCCCTAGCAGTCCCGTCGCTCTGTTTTTGTGCTTTAGAAGAAGTCAGTTTGCGAGAGAAAACTTCTGCTTCCGGTAGTTTTATTTTCTTTTATATATCAAACACCTTGTATCATCTACTCATTTCAGCTGTAGATCTGGGAACTCTGCCATCCCCAAATGTGCGGCAGCGTTCTGTTTCGGTTTGGTTTTTTTACCGAACACCAGTTTCCTCTGCTGCCTCAACAGCTGTGCTTGGTTCTTGGCAACAAATGTTTTCTGGAGCTTCGAAGTACGTCCTTGGGAAAACTTATTGAGTTTCTTGAATGACAAAAATCTTAGAAAATGTGCTTCTTGTCCCTGAGAAGCAATCTCTAGCTATGGATCCTACATGCTAGTAAATACAAGAAAACTGTATTTCAGTTATGACTTGGGGTTTCACCTTTGTCCACAAGGTGAGAAAGGATGGAATGAACAAGGAAGTTGATGGAAACAGCAGCTTATTTGTTCTAGTATTTATTCAAAGATATTTAATAAACTCCAGCTGTGCCCAGGATGGTGGGTGAAAGCATGGGTATCAGGTGTGGAGGGGAGAAAGCGTGGGTACTTGCCTCAATGGTGAGTTTGAAAGGAGAGTTGGGATTTTACTTGCAAAGAATTGGGAGCTGTTTGAGCAAAGGCAGACCGTGACAAAATGGTGCCTTAGGAAAATTAATCGGGCAGTAATGAATGGATGAATGGAAGGAAAGAAATTTGGAGACATGGTGATAATGTAGGTGCGAGGTTACCAAAGACTGAACTGGGGTAGCTGAAGGAAGTCTGAACAGAACCTAAAGGGAGAGCCATAGGAGCTGATGACTGTGTCGTTGGCCACTGGATGGGGCGACCAGGGTCAGTAATGGCCCCAGGACACCTGGCGAGAAGTCCTCCAGTACTGCCAGTCCCCGGATGATTTCCAAGTCTTTATCTCCAGCCCATTCCACTCTCTTGAGTGCCAGGCCCATTTAGTTTCCTCTTACAGGTCTTACTCAAAAAGCCTAAAGCAGAACTACAAGCCCACCCTCCCCAAATTTCTCCTTCATCTCTTCCCCAGATCCTTTTAGTTGTCTCCTTGTCACTTGATGGTGTTCCTGAGGTAACCAGTAACATCTCTGTCCCCTCTGCATGACACACCAGCAATAAGCATGGGGGGCAGGTAGGCGGCCTGGATGAATGTTCCAGAACATTTAGCCTTTGGCTTTGGTCAGCTGGCGCCGACTGGCTCCACCATGCCACGTGACCTGAGTCACTAGATGAGCTTCGTTTCTAGTAAACAGGAGAATGGGGCTTGATTCTTTAGCTCCTACCTTTGGGACCCTATAGTGTCATTGAGAAGTTTTATAATATCATCACATTATGATGATGGAGTAGCAATCATGGTCGTCTGTAAAGGTGTCAGGCTTTGTGAAGGGCTTCAACGGCCATCCTCATGCTCACTCTTCAGAGCACCTGGAGGGTATTTAGGCTGCCCCTCTTAAAATCCCCCCACTGGCAGAATTCAAGGAAGAGAGGGGCGGGAAGGCTCAGGAACGGTGCTTACGGAGGAGGGAGCCCACTGTTCCAGGGTGAGGAGACATGCACCAGATCTCTGAGAGCACTGAACACCTGAGTTGGCACTGGGCGCCGGGAAGCTGGGAGAGCTTCTGAGCAGGACAGTAGCAGGAACAAGTCAGCCCCGCAGGGAGGTGTAGAGCATCAGAGAGGGGAGTCCTCAGACAGGTGGAGATCCAGAGCTCTGACTCCAGCTGGGAGACCATTGCAATCAGCCAGTAGAGAGCTAACGAAAACCGAAACTGGGGCCACTCATTCATGCGTTCATTCACCAATATTTATTGCTTGGCTACTCTGTGCCAGGAACTCTTCTACTCAATAAGAAAACAGAGTCAATAAACCAGATTATCCCTGGTCTCATGGAACTTACGTTTTATTAAAGAGAAACAGACAATACATACAATTAATAATGAATGAGTAGGCCAAATGGTGGTAAGTGCTATGGAAAGAATCGAATGGATGGGGAGGGGCACTTGGGGTGGCAATTTTAACTAGGACAATCAAAGGACTCACTGAGGAAATGACATTTGGGCAAAGGCCTGAAAGAAGCTAATGGCAGTGGGCTGGAGACTGGGGGTTAATGGGACAGAAGGAGGCAAATCAGGAAGGAACAACTTTGAAAAGAAAGGATCTGGAGTCATTTGGACAGTGAACTGGAGAACAATAGGATCACAACCAAAACTGTAAATAGATTTAAACCAAATTTGGAATGTGTTTGGCCTTTATGTTTGAAAAGAGTCATTCGAAGAGTTCAGTTATTCTTTACCAGATTTTATGGGGCCAATTCTATGCTGTAGCAGTATTTGGAACTCCAGGGTTTGAGATGGTCTTAGGTCAGAGGAGAGGAGAAGCAGAGGTTGATGTTAGTAACATGCTTCAAATTCCCGGATGCTCCTCGTCGCTTAGGAATGGACTGTTGCTCCCTCCCACCGTAAACATTACCACGGTCGCAGATGTCCCACCGTTGGCTGCTTGCTGTACTGCCTGCAGCCCCCTTTCAGGACTGAGGCACACGTTTCCTCCTCTGCAGGGAGTGCTTAGAGCTGGTGGCTCACTGCCAAAGGGAGCCACCTGGCCTAAGGGCAGAACCCTCCCGGGGGACAGCCACATCCAGTTACTGGTAGTGGGGTGGGGGACCGGTTATGAAGGCCAGATCATCTTGTTTCAAGGGGTGACAACTCTGAAGTCACCCCCCCCCGCCCCCCCACCCCAGCTCTAGAGCATCCTGTGGGGTTGGCTGAGGCCTGTGTTCTGTCTACACTGTGGAACAACTGTTCCCTAGTCTACTTGGGTCACTTCCTTCACCCCCAACAGACATTGATCCCATCGGCATCCCTGAAAGGCTTCCTGCACACAAATCCCTATTTCAGGATCAGCTTCCCACAAACTCATCCTAAGAACACACCTTTGCCACTTAACCTATTTTGATAGTCTTCTAACTACCTTTCTTTAAGACAAGCCGTGCCTATCTTCCTACTGAGGTCAAAACCTTCTTGACGATCAGGAGACCACCCTTGACCACCCCAGGGGGCGTAGAACTCGTCCTTGCACAAAGGTGACCGTCCCTAAGGACAGGCTTAGGAAGCTTTCGGCTTCCATCCAGAGAGGCCCATGAGAACCGGTGCGCAGAAGAGAACAGCTCAGGCCCACAAGTGTTTGTGCCAAACTATTTCTCTAAAGCTGGTTTTGCTGGGGATGCAACCAAAACCCTTTTATTCCCTGCCAGGAAGTGAAAGTCTTTTATCACCACCTGGGAGGAAAAAGGGGTTCAACCGCTCAGGCTCAGTAGAAACAATCTTACATTGGTGAATAGGGTAGGAAGCTCGGTTCTGGATGCAACAAATTTGAGAAATTTATACTGAATGTGGGTTTCTCAAAGAGAATAATTTAGGGGGAGGGGAGTGGACACTCACTTTTGCCACGTTAATTTTTTTTCATGAAGGTTTGTGAGCAATTGTTTACTTTCTAAAAATAACAGAAAATTTTATATTCAATGTTTTAAAATTATGGAGACTACAGTTTGGCTTCTAGTTATGTGCTAAATGATGCGATTATATTGGACCAAAGTGTTTTAACTTGTATGAACTTTATGCTCTTGTGGTGCAAAAGAGCCTAGTTCCTTTCAAAAGTTTTCTGAGGTGGCAGGTTACTTAGTGTCAGAGGAAATACACCTTTGTCTGAGCTCTGTTTAAAAAGGCAGAAGAGGGTCCAGCCTCGAGAACTACGGCTGGAGTTCGCTTCAGACAGCCTGGGAGGAGGACATGGGGAGAGGACAGGGAGAAATCCGGAGGAAAACATCCAGGAAAAGCCCAGCAGCTCTGAGAGGGAAACTCACTAAATTCTAGATGTTAGAGTCTCCTGGGATACCGGGGCACGGTGGGTGTCACTAATTAGTCAGTTTGGGCTGCTTATAATAAAAATACCATAGACTGGACAGCTTAAAAAACGGAAATTAATTTCTCACAGTTCTGGAGGCTAGAAAGTCCGAGATCAAGGTGCTGACAAATACAGGTCCTGGTGAAAACCCACTTCCTGGTTCGCACATGGCCGCCTTCTCACTCTCTCTTCTGGCAGCGAGATCTTGCCTCTAATGTCTCTTCTCAGAAGGGCACTAACGCCCTTCATGAGCGCTCCACCTCCATGACCTAATGGCCTCCCAAAGGCCTCACCTCCAAATACCACCACATTGGGACTTAGGGCTTCAGCATGTAAATTTGGGGGAGACACAAACATTAGGTCCACAACAATGGGTAAAAAATAAACGTAAAGCCAAAAAAACACCGTTTACTTGTTACCTGCAAACACTGTTACATAAATATTTGTTCTCTACTGAGAACTTTGGTTCACATCCCTGGCTACAGGGTAGAACTACCTGAGGTATTTTTGTTTTTGTTTTTTTAAAGATTTACTTATTTATTTTAGAGAGAGGGAGAGAGGGGGAAGGGGCAGAGGGAAGGAGAGTCTTCAGTAGAGTCTGCACTGAGAGCAGAGCCCAATGCCGGGCTCGATCTCACAGCCCTGAGATCATGACCTGAGCCAAAACCAGGAGTCCAACTCTTAACCGATTGTGCTACCCAGGTGCCCCAAACTATCTAAGTTTTTGAAATATCAGGGACCAGGCTCCATCCCAGGCAAATGGAGGCTGAATCTCAGTGGGTGGTGGTGAGGCTAAGCATCCGTGGTTTCCACCAAGCACCAGTCACCCTCCTGTGCTTCTAAGGCTGATGCAACGGCTGGTTTAGAATTTCACTGTGGTTGGGCGCCATTGCTAACCCCACTTTGTCCACCTTCGTAGAAAGCTAAAAAGATATGGAAACATAGACTCCTTTCTTACTCCCTTTTGATATTTGGACTTGTTACATGAAATCACTATTTTTTTTTTAATTGACATATAAGGTATCATTGGTTTCAGAGGTACAGGTCTGTGATTCATCAGTCTTACACAATACGCAGCGCTCACCACAACACATACCCTCCCCAGTGTCCGTCACCGGCCACCCCATCCCCCCAGCCCCCTCCCCTCCAGCAACCCTCAGTTTGTTTCCTGAGATTAAGAGTCTCTCATGGTTGTCTCCCTCTCCGGTTTCATCTTGTTTCATTTTTCCCTCCCTTCCCCTATGATCCTCTGTCTTGTTTCTCAAATTCCTCATATCAGTGAGATCGTATGATACTTATCTTTCTCTGATTGACTTATTTCACTTCGCATAATACTCTCTGTTCCATCCATGTCATTGCAAATGGCAAGATTTCATTTTTTGATGGCTGTGTAATATTCCATTATGTATATATACCACATCTTCTTTATCCATTCATCTGTCGATGGACATCTGGGCTCTTTCCACAGCTTGGCTATTGTGGACATTGCTGCTATGAACATTGGGGTGCAGGTGCCCCTTTGGATCCCTACATTTGTATCTTTGGGGTAAATACCCAGTAGTGCAATTGCTGGGTCGTAGGGTAGCTCTATTTTCAACTTTTTGAGGAACCTCCATACTGTTTTCCAGAGTGGCTGCACCAGTTTGCATTCCCACCAACAGTGTAGGAGGGTTCCCCTTTCTCCACATCCCCGCCAACATCTGTCATGAAATCATTACTTGTAATGTTTTCCTCAACATTCCTTACAACCCAAACCTGCTCCATCCAGCACTTACCAGCCGGCATCAAGCAGGGCTTTGAGAGAAGGCATTCTCGTCCTTTGGGTCATAGCTCCGCTGTGTCAGCACCATGTGAGACAGTGCTCCCCAATGCCACAAGGGCACAGGGCCACATGCTTCTCCCATATACCCAGGCACCACCTTGGGAGCAGTACATTTTCTGGAGTTATCCAAGCAGAAAGAGAGCTACTTAATGGGACAATTTAGATTGGACTGACATGGCCAGATGGGACTAAACTTTAGTTCTTTTCCCACATTACAGCAAGAAGAAAGAAAATCAGCTCTTCTATAGACAAAATAACAAAGCTCACATTTTCTCTGTACACACAAGGTAAGCCATGTTGCATCCTGATACATGAGCTTATAAATCCATTTGCATATGGCCCTGTGTACATACACATCCACATACTGTAAGGCAAGCTAAGGCAAGGCAGTGTGAACAAGATCCTGGAAGAAGAGGCCAGCAGTGGGCAGCACCTGGCATGGTCTGGGATTCTGGCGTCAGAGAAGGAAGGCCAGCTTCTTGCAGGCAAATCGTGACACACACATATGTGAAATGCTGCAAAATAAAACCCATCAGTAAGTGCTATTAACAAGCCAATTTGCCGGGAGCTCCCACAGCTGTTGAGGTAGCTGACCGGACACAGCCGAGCTTCATTTCTAAGGACTGTTGTCACATGCATGGAAGTTCTAGTTGTTTCCACTTGGTGTCAGTATTTTCTACCTTAAAAGGTCTCTGGGTAAAAATTAAGCAAAGTTCCTGTTGAAGAAAGTCGGGAGGACTTGGTTGTGAATAAATTACTTTACTTAAAAAAAAAAAATGTTTCCTCTCTCTCTCATTCTCTCTCTCTCTCAAATAAATAAATAAAATCTTAAAAA